AAAATAAGACCAGCAACACTGAAAGAAAAAGAAATCAACAAAGACAAGAGGGAAGGAGGGAGGGGGTCAGGGAAAAGGAAGGGAAGGGGAAAGTCAAGGAACATATAGCAAGGACTCATGGGCAAAACCAAAGGGGAAGAGCTGAGGGAGGGATGGAGGAAGGGGGTAAGGGAAAGTAGTGTAGGGAGGCAGAGACAAATGTATTTGAAAAAATAAATTAAAATAAAATTTAAAAAAAGAACAAAAATATATTTGGCAATGATACTACAGACAGGGGTTTGATCTCCAAAATATAGAAAGAACTCACACCGCTCAAATTCTGGAAGACAAAGAATCCAATTGAAAAATGGGCAAAGGACCTGAACAGACATTTCTCCAAGAAGGATATACACAGGGACCAGAGACATATGAAAAGATGCTCACCATCACTAACCACCAGATAAATACAAATTAAAGCCACAATTAAATACCACTTCCCACCAGTAAGCATGGCCATAATAAATAAATCTACAAACACGTGCTGCTGAGGTTGTGGAGAAAAGGGAAACATACTCCACTGTTGGTGGGAATGCAGATCTCTGCAACAACTGTGGGAAACTTGTGGAATTTCATGAGAAAGCTAAAGATGGAACTTCCTTTTGACGCAGTGATTCCGCTGCTGGGAGTATACCTTATGAACCACAAAACACTGATTCAAAAGAAGCTATACACCCCAATGTTCATAGCAGCAACATTAACAATAGACAAGTGCTGGAAGCAACCTAAGTGTCCATCAGAGTGTGAGTGGATCAAACAAACATCATATATTTACACAGTGGAATGCTACACAAGAGAGAGAAAGATATAGCTACTACACTTTGCTACAACATGGATGGAACTGAAGAGCATTATGCTAAGTAAAATGAATCAGGTGGAGAAAAACAAATAAAATACAATCTCACCTATAAGTGAAACCCAATCAGTGAAGCAAGTAGGCAAGGAAAATATGACCAGCTACTTTGAAAGAAAGAGGAAACCAATGGAAATGTGAAGGAGGGAAGGAGGGAGGAGGGTAGTGAATAGCGGAAGTGGAAGGGTCAAATCAAGGAACCAGTATGAGGACACTTGGAGGAAGCCAAGGTGGGGAAGGATTGAGTGGGGTAGGGGCAGTAGGAGATGTAGGGGAAAGTGGTGGTGGGTAAATGAAGATAAAGGTATTTGATGGAACTCGAGAGCATTATGCTAAGTGAAATAAGACAGGGGGAGAAAAACAAATTACATATGATCTCACCTATAAGTGGAACCTAACCAACAATACAAAGATGCAAGGAAAATAAGACCAGCAACACTGAAAGGAAAAGAAATCAAAAGAGACAAGAGGAAAGGAGGGAGGGGAGGCAGGGAAAAGGAAGGGAAGGGGAAAGTCAAGGAACATGTAACAAGGACTCATGGAGAAAACCAAAGGGGTAGAACTGAGGCAAGGAAGGAGGGAAAGGGCAAGGGAAAGTGGTGGGGGGTAGGCAGAGACAAATGTATTTGAAAAAATAAATTAAAATAAAATTAAAAAAATAAAATAAATAATCTTTGAACATTTAAAAAAAGATATTTGAAAAATTAAAAAAAACAGAAATAACTTTAAAAATAAGTAAATCATTTTTTCCTTTAATAAACTGTGACTTTATTTAAAAAAAGAAAAATAAATATAAACATTCCATTTTTACACATTTTATCATTAAAATGGATGTTTACAGATTATATGGAAATCTTCAAGACTCTATAAAGTACTGATACTTCATTTGTAATATAAAGATATCTTGAAATATCGCTATAGATAAGAAAGTTTCTGTTCACATAATAATTTCGAAAACCATGTCAGTTTAAGGTTATTTTCTGTTCCTTAGGGACAGTTAATATTTCATCATGATGGCATTACAAATATATTATATCCTCAGGAAGATCCAAGGAAAGGATATGACATATTCTAAACACTTTAATTCTGGGTGGGAATCAATTTTGAGATCACAGATTTGGAATGAGATAAAGATTACTAGAACTTAATGGAATACTTGAAGATATAGAAATATTGGCATATAGTTAACATATAATAATGGGTGATTAGAGACCAAGATGGCAGAGCAGTGAGTGGAAGTCACACTGACCTCCTCCAAGGACCACCCTGGAATTACAACTAAATTGTGGAGAAATCACCTGGACCAAACAACTGAGCAAGAGTGAGAGAGGAGCCTTGCAACCTCGGAGACAGAAGAATCGGTTTTAGTGCAATCTACTTGGTAAGGAGTGTGGTACAGACCTGAGAAGGCTGGCAGGCAACCCATGGGTGGCAGCACCAGAAGGATATTGAAATGTCCAGTTGGAGCCCCCAGAGAAGAGCAGGGTCTAAACCAACATTGGGGATCCCTAGCCCACTGCACCAGAGCCCAAAGAGTACACAGTCAACAGCCAGCTGCGAAAAGTGGCAGGGTTGCTCTCTGCCAGAAACAGGTGGCTAGAGACAAAAAGAGTCATTTAAAGGGCCAACACATAAATTTGTATTTGCAGCCATTTACACTGATATCCAGCAAAGACAGGGGCAGAGTGGGTTAGAGATGCTTGAGTAGAGACTGGGGATGGAGACTTTGGTGAAAGAACAGAGAGAGTAGTTGGCGAGATCCCAGTGCGGACTCCTCCCTCATACTGCAGCAGCTTGAGTGGACCCAATAACCCTGCGCCCAGGAGGGACTCGGCCCTGCCCTGAGCTGTCTAAGGCAGCCTACTGAGTGCAGAGTGAATATATTAACAGCTGATGGAGACAGCCACACACAGGAGATTCCTGGAAGTCTCAAACAAGCTGCCACATGGCATCCAGGCATGACATCTGACATCATCAGAGGCAGATCCAGAAAGTAAAAAGCAGTCATCTCCAACCACAGAGGTTCACACCACAGAGTCAGGAAATCAAGACAGATCAAGTTAAGATGCAGAAGCAAAAGAGAAGAGTCTCACAAATAATGGGAAGACAAAGAAATACACCCCACTTGAAGGGAAATGAGGAATGCCCAGAAAGAGAACTAAAAGCAATAGAGGCAAGTAAACTATCAGATATTGAGTTCAAAACAACAGTTCTAAGGAAACTCAGTGAGCTCAGTGAGCTCAGAGAGAAATACCAAAAACTACAGGAAAACTACAGGGAACTTACTACAGAATACACCATCATGAAAGAGGACATAGAAGCTATCAATAAGAGAGTAGAAGAAATGAAGAATACAATTTCTGAAGGGCAAACACAGTAGAAAGAATCAAAAGCAGGCTAGATGCAGCTGAGGACCGAATCAGTGAGCTGGAGGATAAGGTAGAAAAAAGCTCCCAGAACGAGCAAGAAAACGAAAAGAGAGTCAGAAAGAATGAGGAGGCATTTAGGGAAATGCAGGACAATCTGAAATGTAATAATATCCGTATAGTAGGTTTGCCAGAAGAAGAGGATGAGGAGAGGATAGAGAACCTGTTTGAAAAAGTAATGATGGAAAACTTCCCTAATTGGAGGAGAGAAAAAGTCACACAAGTTCAGGAGGCACCGAGGGTCCCATTCAAGAGGAACCCAAAGAGGCCCACTCCAAGACACATCATCATTAAAATGGCAAATATCAAAGACAAATAGAGAATCCTAAAACAAGCAAGGGAGAAAACAATAATAACATATAAGGGTACCCTGATACGGCTCACATCTGGCTTCTCAGCAGAAACACTACAAGCCTGAAGGGAATGGCAAGAAATATCCCAAGTAAGGAAAATCAAAAGCCTGCAACCAAGAGTACTCTACCCAGCAGCAAGGCTCTCAGTTAAAATGCAAGGTAAAATAAGGAGTTTCCCAGAGAAAGGTAGGCTAAAAGAATACATCTCCACCAAACCAGCCCTGCAAAATCTGCAAGAAGGACTGCCTTAAGATAAAGAAAATGTTTCTATGAATTCCCAGTTCCTTTCAGAGTTGACGCTACTTGATATTACCAATATTTTTAATACTCAATAACCTGATTGTGGCAATGATGTTATTTTAATTGATCCTTTCCTATTTCTTGAAACTAAACCTGTTTTAGTATTTTAAAAAATGGGTTATGGAATAGAATGAATCAAGGATTACTGTAGTGTTGATACTATTGATGCAAGTATTCCTAATTTTTAATATTTTTGATTTTCATATAGAAAAAAACTTGCTTTTTATTTAATCATTTTGGTAAATTATACTGTAATAGACAATATCTAGGTATTTATATTTGTAGCCAAGTTGCATCTCTCTGGAATTTTGACACAGTCTGGCTTGTTCAAAATGTTCATGGAAGTCTTCCCAGGCAAGGTGTGGAGGTTGCTTTCCGGATAGGTGGCAAGGGAGAACCAGACTTTGGGCAGGCCTCAAGAACTTAATGAACTGGCCCCAAAGTAATAGGCATTGTAGGTAAAGCCTAATAGCAAAGAGGTGTATTGGCCTCTGTGCCACATAGAGTAATTAAAGCTCCATCTTGCATTTCCTTACAAGATTTCAGCGTAGCATATTAAACAGAGTCTACACAATCAATTATTTTTCTGTTATGTTTATGCCAGTATCCTAACTGAATGGAAACTGAACTTAATGCAGTAAATGAATTAGTCTTAGGTTTTTGGATAAAAATGAGGGTGATTCTACATAGAGAAATTATGTTTCAGTAGACTCGGTACTACAGAGTTATAGACATTAAACTCTACTTCAGTGAAATGTCCCCAGTGCTGTATTTTTTAACTTACGAACAGAACTACATACTAAAATCTTCTGGCTCCTTATTCTCTTTTATTGATATTAATACTACAACCTGACTCCACCGGGTTACAAGCCCTAAGTCCTAATCAGGAAACACCAACCCTAGACACCATTGCAACACTCTTCCATTGCCAGGCCTCATCTCCCCTTAGACTGAGAGAAAGGATCTCTTGGCTCTGATGGAAAATAACAGCCCTGTATAGCAGGAAGCGGTTGCAAAAAACATCTGACACACTTTCCCCCAGAAGGAGTAAGAACAAAAATTCTTGTGCAGGACATAGTCTAAATGAAAGCAAGGAAAAAGTGGATAGGTACAGAATTTCTCCATGGGAGAACACTCAGGTGCCTAGCAGCAGGCATACAAAAAAAATAAATAAATATGAAAAGGCACATGAGCAGAGGGTGAACTGGAAAGGAGACTCAGATAATGCAGGAGGCTGCCCGGGGCTCCTCTGCACATCCCACAACCCATCAGTATTTCTCCACAGAAACCTCAGAAAAGTCAGGACACATCAACCCTATCAACCCTATCAACCACTGCATTGCCTATAAAAACAGACTTGGTCATGGGGTAATGAGACACATGCCACAAAAAGCCTATCTCAAGCCATTAAGATTCCATGTTAGAGATTCAAAGTCATCACAGAGCTTTCTCTACTTGCCTGAATGAGCCATCCCAGTTCTGGAACTTGGCTTGATTTTTAAACTGCCTACCAAGTGGCATGTTCCCCTAAAGACAGCATCTTTCTCTCAGGTCTCTCTGCCATATGCACTTCAACTCCAGTTGGTTGTAACCTTTCCAGGGGAACCCAGAGAAGATCAGCTCCCTCCTGAGAATGACAAGCAAGTAATTAGAACAGTTCTTGCAGATGACACTCCAGGGCAATCAATTAATGTTCATGCAAATATTATGAATGGTTTCCCATTGTTTCTGTTGCTCCATCCATATATTACAGGGACTCTCCAGGAGCTTATCACAGAGCATAACTTGTGGAGATACATCCAGGAGCATTGCAGGAGACCTTCACTGAGGACCCAGGATCCCTCTCCTCAGCCTCCATAGGGGCCACATGTACCTGGGAGTGGGCACCTGTGCAGAGGAGAAAGGTGTGGGTGGAAAGGCCTCTTGATTGTCCCTTGTCCCTTGCTCAACCCAGGAGCAAAGGAGGTCCTTACTTGTAGCCACTGCCACCAGGAGAAGGACTCTCCAGGACTAGTCCCTGGGGAGGGGCTGTGCCTTCAGGACTGCTGTGTGGGGTTGTGGGGCTGCAGGTGATGCTCTGACAGCACAGAAAGACCCACATTTCACCATGTCTACATCTTCTGTTGTGCATAGTCATGAGGAAAATTACTTTATACCCAATTACATGACTCCATCTAGAAGAGGGGAGGGAACCCAGGGAACATGATCAATGGGATGGCCATGGTTCAAGTTTGAGTCATTGTTTTCTGATGTGTCCCCTGCCAGGCCCCTGAGCTCTGTGCACACAAAACTCCTTCCACAGAAGAATGAGCCCCACAGGAGAAGCTCCATTTTAGAGAACGCATATTTTCCTAAATCAGAGACACCTGGACAAATTCTTGGCTTTAATACCTGCTGGGGTTTTTTGTCATGGATCAGGGCCTCCAGATCCTTGACATTCAGATATAAAGAAGTTGTAGAAATACCCTCACTGACTATGGTTCCCTTATCTTCTTACGTTTGGTAAATACTCTAATAGGATTAATCTTTAGAGTCACAACGTGTCCAATACATATTTTAATTTTTCTACATTTAGCCTGCAGAGTCCATAGTGAGCAGGTGCTGTTTCGTCCTGGGGACATTCAGAGCCAGGGTACCCTTGTACACACAATGCAGCCAATACTGACATGATTTTGGCATGGCAGGTCACTCTGACTCACAGTGTACAGGTCCCCATTCTCAGAATGCACTGCCTGAAGCCTCAACAGTAGTAACACCATGGAAACTGGGCCAGTGTCTCCCCAGGAGCAGAAGCAAGTGCTGATCCAGGAATAGTGGAGCCAGAATTTGTCCTGGAATGTCATAGTCTGAAAAATAGTGTCAGTGCAGTTTTACACTCCTTCTTCTGGTGTCTTGAGAGGCCCCAGTAACATAGCCTTCCTGTTTCCGGCAGGGAGGTTTGTGTCTGGGCTCCTGCTGACTTCCCCTCACTGTGTCTCTTGTACAGTAATACACGGCTGAGTCCTCGGTGCTCACAGAGCTCAGCTGCAGGGAGAACTGGTTCTTAGAAGTGTCCCTGGAGATAGAGGCATGGCTCTTGAGGGATGGGCTGTAGTAAGGGCTTCCACCACTATTTATGTTCCCGATCCACTCCAGTCCCTTCCCTGGGGACTGGCGGATCCAGCTCCATGCATAACCACTGGATGTGATGGAGAATCCAGAGACAGTGCAGGTGAAGGAGAGGGTCTGTGAGGGCTTCACCGTTCCTGGGCCTGACTCCTGCAGCTGTACCTGGGACCACACACCTGGGAACAAAAACCATCAGTCGCTGTCAGCCATGTACATTCACCACCATCCCGTAGACCCAGATCTGATGTCTGAGGCACTCACCCTGGGGGGCTGTCAGCAGGCACAGGAGGAAACCCAGCAGTCTCATCTTCTACACTCAGGTCTGCCTTCCCCAGAGACTCAGCCCTGTGTGAGGAGAGAGCTGTGAGTCCCCACAGCCCAGGAGAGGATTTAACCAGGAGCTGAGACAGAAATTTGCATGTGGTGGATGCTATTCTCATAAGTGGAGAGAGAGTGAGGCCACCGTCCTTCTATTCCCTGAGCACATTGCTTCTCTTGGCCTGGATGGTATAGGTCAAGAATGGGAGAGTAGCTGGGTTATGTATCAACATTGAAACATGCCGATGGACCACTTTTATTTCTTTGGTTAAGAGTTAAAGCTGGACTGAGTGAAGGATCACACATTTTAATATTATAGACTATTTAAATTTATCTTAAAAGAGATTAACACTATATGCCCAAACATCTTCCCACGTCCAAGGAAGCACATGAAGTAGACACATCCTTTCCATATTGGATAATTATAATTTCATCAGAAAGAGAACTTGATGTAAATTTTCATATATAAATATTGCAAAGTAAAGAATAGTTTTTCCCTTGCCCTGACTGAGGCCCCTGAGCCTGCCTGGATTCAAGATCCAGGCAAAAGACCACACAGGTGAGGACCTGCTGCCCAGAGTGCATCTCAGACCCTGGAGCTCACACAGGTGTTACATATGCTGTGCCCTTCCTTTCATCCCCCTTTCCTTGGGTCAGCCACTCAGGAGGCATCCCAGGTTCCTAGAGGACATGGGGCCCTGATACCTGGAGTCACCATCTCACAGAGACACACAGGCACTTACTCTGAGCCAGGAGGTGTTCTGAGATGTGTCATCACAGAAGGTCAGTTTGAAAACCTCCATCCCCATCTTCACCTGAGACCCTAGGGAGGGATCTGGAGGATGGTCCTGGGAAAGAGGCTGGAGTCTCATGAAGGTCAAGGTAACAGATGGAAGAAAACCAAAGTGCAGAGGAGGTGTATCATTCTTTCTATTACTAAACTGAGTTCGAACCCATGATGGTATTTGGCTGCCTTGTAAATGCCTAAATCAGGTATCACATGCGCTCCATACACAGAAACTTCCCAGTGCAGTGCTCATTATTTAATAGTGCACGGCAAGGCCTGGGACACATGTGACAGACTGAGGACACCTATGGATTAAACGGGAGATTTTCTCAGGAGACAAATACCTCAGGAGATTCCCCCCACCCTTGTCAACAAGAAACCTGAGAGTGAGGGTTTGGGCAGTTGCATGGGACTGAGGTGACATATGTGGCAGGGATGTCACCACTCTTCTGTAGATTCTGCGGAGCACCTGTGAGGAGCCCTGAGCACAGGTCAACTGTGCCCAGTATGAAGGAAAATGAGGCGGATTCGAAGGAGTGAAGCCGTGAGAATAGCTCCTCCAGTGAGCAGCACACTATTGCTCCAAGTGACGCCTGTGCTCTCTAACCCACTCCTTCCCCCACCACCCCCGCTGTGGAAGAGAACTCAGCCCCATCCATAGTCCTGGCCCACCCAGTGACATGTGTCCTCACCTGTCCCAGAGGGACCTCAGCCTGAACTTAGCATCTTCTTCTTCACATGTCCCTGTGAAGCTACACATTTTAGGAGAGCACCTGGGTGTCTCCATGTCCCAGTTCTCAAGGAGCTTTACAAACCATGACCCCAGAGAAGTGGTACATGTTCAATCTCTAGTGGCTTTTCTCACTCCCATGTAAGGTGAGAGCAGAGGGAAGTGTTGGGTTCCATCCTGGGAGATGCAGAAAAGTTTAAATTCAGGTGGAAATGTGTTTAAGGAGAAGGGAGTTTCCATCCTGTGCCAGTCAGTGCTGTGTGTGATCAGTGTCATTGTCACACATGGGTCCCCACCACCATCGCTGTGACACCATGACACAGAGTATGCTGGGACCTAATGATGTGCCACCCACATTGTGTCTCCCTAGAAGGGACACCTGGACACATGTAATGCCCTGTACCATCTGAGCACTTGACTTTGCCACTGTCCTTGTCCCCACACCACCACCTCACATGGAGCTCTCAGCCCAGGAGCCCCATGGCCCAGAATCCTGGACGAGGTTCCTCCTCTTCCCAGACTCCATTTCCCTGCAAACACCCAGGGGAAGAGTCAACCCTTCTGAGGTTCTTGCCCCAAGTGAGTTTCTCAGAACGATCTTCCATGTCACCCCTGCTTGGACCCCTGATGCCATTCCTGCCTTGCAGGGTCAGGAGGCATCACTGGTCCTGGGACACCTGTGCACAACTCTAATGAGAACTGGTGTGATGTCTGTGGTAACACATTCAGTAACTAACATTCATCATGAGAGTCCTTTTTAAATGGACACAGTGACTTTAAGTCCATCCACACCCTTGGGCAACCACCATCACCATCCAGATGCAGAAATTCTCTTTCTGACACTGACTTGGTGCCATTAAATAGTGACTTCCACTTCCTTCCCCAACCTCAGACACCTCATTATGCATCTGTCTCCATGCCCTTGACCATTCCAAGTTCTCACAAATGTAGATACAAACAGCCACTGTGATCCAAAGAGTGACACAGAGAGAACCTGGAGAGTTCTGGACTGTAATCTCTGTAAATTTTATTTCTTGAATCAAGGCCTCCAGCTCAACATTAGATACAAAGAAGTCATTGAAATTCTCTCAATGACTGTGGCCTCTTTGTCTTATTCAGTTTAATAAATGTTCTGATAGAGTTACATTTTTAGAGTCACACCCTGTCCAACCCTTATTTTAGATGGTTTGATGAAAACAGGAAGATGCAGGCACTGAGGAGAAAAACCTCCACAGTTCGCTCTCCACCTGCTCCTGAAGCAGCAGCCCTGAGATCATGAGCCCTACATGCCACCTGCTGCCCAACTTCTGTCCTATAGGGGAGGGTCTTGTCAATGCTGATGGGGCATGGACTTCTCAGGGTCTTTTCTTAGAAGTGAAACAGAGCCCTGACTTCAGGATGGTCCCTCAGGGACAACATGGTTTTACACAAGTCAGGATTAAGAGAATTGTCCTTAGTAAACCCCAGTGATTCTACAGGGCGTCCCAGAGCTGGGCACTCTGCAGCCTCCAGAGAGCCCCTTTGCTGGAGCTTCCAGGTGTGCTGACTCACTGACATCCTTGAGTCCTGAAGCTCTCAGCAGTCTTGAGGCACACTGATGTCCTCAGGTTCATCAGCTTGCAGTTCCCATGTAAGGTGGCACATGACCTTCAACCTAATGCACTTCTACTGCTCAATATATCACACAGACACACATACACACGCACGCACACACACACAGTGATAATTTTCCAGGCAATGAACCCAGTTCCCATTCTCCCCTGTTCCTTTCACATGGACAGGAACCCACTGTCACTGGAACTAAGTGAGTAACCTACTATGACGACAGAAAGAAAACAAACACAATTTATGTGAAGATGGGAGAGCGCTGCCCCTTTGGTTTTCTCTTCTCCCAGCACCTGGAATCTGCAGAGTCCATAGTGAGAAAGTCTTGGCTTGTCCAGGGGAGGTTCAAACCCAGGCTACCCTTGTCTATTCAGTGTAGCAAATACTGACCTGATTTAGGGGTGGATGGTCTCTCTGACCTATAGTGTAGGGGTCCCCATTCTCAGAGTGCACTGCCTGAAGCCTTGAGGGCAGTAACTCAGTGGACACTGGAGCAGGGTCTCCCCAGGAGCAGAAGCAGGTGTTGATGCAGGAATAGCGGAGTCAGAAAATTAGTCCTGGAATGTCAGAGTCTGTGGACCACTGTCATTGTAGGTTTCCACTGCTTCCTCTGGTGCCCCAAGGGCCCCTTGGAGCTGAGCCTATTTTCTTCCTGCAGGGAAGATTTTGTCTGGGCTCTTGATGACTTCCTCTCACTGTGCATCTGTGTTTCCTGCACAGTAATACACAGCTGAGTCCTCGGTGCTCACGGAGCTCAGCTGCAGAGACACTTGGTTCTTGGATGTGTCCCTGGAGATGGAAGCACGGCTCTTGAGGGATGGGTTGTACTGAGTGCTTCCATGAAAATGGATGCTCCCGATCCACTCCAGCCCCTTCCCTGGGGGCTGGCGGACCCAGTGCCAGTAGTGAGGACTGCTGATGGAGTAACCAGAGACAGTGCAGGTGATGGAGAGAGTCTGCAAGGGCTTCACTGTTCCTGGACCAGACTCCTGCAGCTGCACCTGGGTCCAGACCCCTGGGGACAAAGAACACCAGTCCCTGTAAGTCATATGCAGTCACCATCATCCCATAGACCCAAGTCTTATTTCTGACACACTCACCCTGTGGGGCTGTCAGAAGGCACAGGAGGAGACCCAGCAGCCTCATCATCCACACACAGGTCTGCCTTCCCTGGAGACACAGCCCCATGTGAGGAGAGATCTGTGAGCCCCCACAGCTCAAGGGTGGGTTTGTCCTGTAGCTGAGACAGAAATTTGCATGTGGCAGACTCTATTTTTCATAAGTCGGGAGAGACTGAGGCCACAGTCCTGTGTACTGAGTATATTTCTTCTCTTGGACTCAATGGCATAGGTCAGTTATAGGAGAGGAACTGAGTTATGTGTCAACTTTGAAACATGTCAATTCATAGCTCTTCTTTCAATGTTTAACAATTAAAGCTGGACTGGATGAGGGGTGACAAGCTTAATTTTCAAAGGTTATTAAAGAGGATATTAAAACAGATTTACATTCACCCAAACATCTGCCCAAGTACAAAGAAACACATGAGGTAGACATGTCATTTCCCAGAGGAGAAAATCACAATTTTGTATGGAAAGGAATTTGATGAACATTTTAATGTAAAAATAGTGCAAAGTACAAAAGCATTTCCCTTGCCATGGCTGAGGCCCCTGTGTCTGCAGGTTCTAGAGCAGGTGCAGCCTCTGTCTCAGTCCAGCTCCAGGGAATGTTAGGACATGCTGCCCAAAGTCCAGCTGAAACCCTGCAGCTGACACAGGGTGTTACATACACTGTGTCCTTCCTTTCGTGTAAGTTCCCCCAGGGCAGTGCAGCCCCTTCCAACAGGTGAGCCGCTCAGGAGGCCTCCCATGTTCCTACACAACATGGGGCCCTGAAACCCTGCAGTCACCTCCCGGAGACACACAGGCACAGACTCTGGTCCAGCAGGTGTCCTGAGATATGTGAGGAGGACAGGACCTGCTTCCTCTTCATAGAGGGTCAGTTTGGACGCTTCCATCCCCATGTTCACCCTGGAGCCTGGGGTTGGGACCCGCAGGTTTTTGTCCTGGGAAGGGGACTAGGAGCTCATGATGGACCAAGGCACCAGGTGGAGGGGCACCAAAGTGCAAGCCAGCTATATCTTCTATTACATCACTTAAGTGAAACAAAACACATGACGGGACTCAACAGCATGGTAAATGCTTAAAACCAGGTTTTCTTGCCTGAGTCTTGCACACTCTTCATCCACAGAAGCTGCCCACTGCAGTGCCAATCATCTAATAGTGCACAGCGAGGCCTGGGGCACATCTTACAAACTGAGGGCATGTAAGGACCCACTGATTAGGACAAACATGAAGAAAAGGGGGGTGGATGTCAAGGGAGAGAACCTATGAGAACATCTCCTCCAGCGAGCAGTACACCTATGCCCAACTGTACACCTGTGCTCTGTAACCCACTCCTGACCTCTCTCTAAACATGGAGAACTGAGCCCCTTTTTGTGGCCCTGGCCAGGCCACTGTGCCCTCTCCTGTCCCAGGGGTCCCTCGGATGGGACATGCCCTCATTTCTCCCTTTTCTGGGTGATGCTGCTCAGAGACGCATTTCAGGTGAGCGCCTGGCTGTCTCTGGCTCTTAGTTTTCCATGAGCTTTAGTGACTGAAACCCAGATAAGTGAACCTACTGAAGGTCTTGTCATTTTTCTCACTCATGTGCCAGGTTAGTGGCTCAGAGGATGCTGCAAAGTGAAAATTGATGGGGAAAAAGTTTCTACTGAGAAGGGTGGGTCCACTTTGTGTGGCATAGCCTTGTGTGGTGAGCGTCATGGACACTCATGCATCCCCACAGTCATCGTGGTGACTCTGTAAGTCAGAGAGTGCTGGGCCCTAGTGACATGCCACCCACATAACATCTCCCTCAAAGAAGTCCTGGGTCCTCTCAGGACGTGAACCACCCACTGTCCTGGATCCCACACCTCCACCTCATACACTCCCTCAGTCCAGGGACCCCTGTAGCCCAGAGTCCTTGATCAGGCTCCCCTTCTTCCAAGGCTTCATTTTCCTAGAGATACACATAGAACAGTCACACCCATTCTGATGGTTTTGCCCCAAACATTCAGCAGGTGATTCTCTTTTACGTGCACACAGTGATGTTAAGTGTATTCAGAAATTGTACAACCTGTCAACTTCCAAGTCCAGAATTTCTCATCCTCCAACACTGACTCAGTGCCCTTTAAATAACAACTCCCCATCTCCAACCCCCCAGCCCAGTGACCCATTCTATGTTCTCTCTCCATGTCCTTGACCGTCTGTCTCTCACAGACCTGGAAGCACTCAGCCACTGTGATGCTGAGAGTGGTCTCTTCCCTAGGCATTGTGTCTCCAAGGCTCATCTGTGTTCTTGTATCTGCCCATGTTCTCTTCTTTTGAAGAGGAGATCATGTTGTTTGGTTCGGATGGAGCGCATCTTGCTATTGAGTTTCCTCTAGTTGCTTGGAAACTAGAGATTTTGCTATTTTCCTGATCAGAGAGGAGGGGCCACAGCACAGGGGAGGCCTACAACAAACTCAGGTAAAAGGAGTCAACACATGATCACCTGAAATTGACAGGAAGCACCTGTGACCAGAGGTTGTGCTGAGATAAGACAAACAGTAAAAATTTCCACGGTGAGCTCGGGGTCCTATGTCATGGTCTCCCATCTATCCTGGAAGAAGCAGGATGAGGACAAAGGGGAGGGAGAGACACAGTTTGTGTGACAAGCGCAGGGCTGATGGGCTCCTGGGTCAGAGTCCACCTTCAGGACACACCCTGCATCAGCCTGGACTTTCTAAAGCAGGGGCATGCATCCTGCCCTGTGGCTCTGAGGAAATCAGAGAATGTCACAGAAAGGAGGTTGAGGGGAAATCATGGAGGAGGGTGACATGAGGGTGACAGAGGAGCCCCAGTGTTAGTTCCAGTCCAGGGACTCAGGTCTGAGATGCTGGAGGAGCCCGTGTGCCCTGGGAGCTGGAGGCAGGACCAAAGCTCATGTGGATGCTCCAGTTCCAAGGCCCTCAGGCAGGGGGGTTCCACTGGTCCCCTGCAGGCCTGCAATGTTGGCAGGTCCTATCACACTAAGGAAGGCAATGTGCCTCACCCAGTCCACTGATTAAAACCACACCCACAAAAACCTCCAGGTAATGTTTCAACAAATATGCAGGCACCCTCTGCCAGTCAAGTGGGCCCCTAAATTCACTATCACATGACCCACAGATCCAATACTCAGCAGACACAGCCAGCCTTCCCCCCGCCTTGACATCACCCACAATAGGGTCTTCATGATCTGCCACTAAGAGATTTCTATGGTGAATGGCAATCAGGGGAAATGGCTGATGAAGCTCACAGCTGAGACCTCAGCCTGACTGTTAACAACAAAGGCCTCAGTGAGTCCCCAGAGCAGCCCCGGTCTTCACACTTTGTGGGGGATCCCATTCCCAGGAGTCTCCCTGGTCTGCAGCAGATGAAATAAGAGTTCATTCCAGACACTAATTGCCTGACAAGAAAAGGGGGCAGTAATTCCCTCTAGAGGGGAATGCCCTGAGCCCTTCTCTGAAATGGTTTTTGTTGAGAATGATTATGTGCAGGGGACACAGCATACGGCAAAGCTTATCAATCCACATCAGAGAGCTATAGGTAACAATAAAAGGAGAACATAGATCAGCCTTGGGGAAGGTTCTGTTAGACACACTGACATCCAATCATTAAGACAAGGTTCAGGGGCTCAGGAATCTTCTCTTCTGCTTTGAGACCAAACACCTGATTTTTCCTTATCAGGGCAGTGTGAAACAGATCAAGCTTCAGTAAACATAACTCATTCTGTAGGTTGGATTTCCTAGGGTACCCTTGGTGCCAGTATTGGGTTTTGCCAGCCACCCAGCATCTCCAGCTTTCCGCCGGGACTTATAGGCCCTTTCATGGCCTGGCTTGTGCGGGCCAACAATTCTGGATACCACACAATGTGGTGCCCAGGAACACCTCACAGCTCACGGAGCAAATGTGAACCCCCACACCTTTGAGAGCAGCTCCAGTGCAGGACATCTAACTCAGGGCTCTTGGCTCATCCAGAAGATGCAATCCTTGGCAGGAGGCAGCTGGCACATGACCTTTGATACAGTGAGAAAAACCTCAGACTGCGGCAACTGCCATTAAGATGTCCCACCAAGACCCCTGTCTAGTCCTCGGTGTATGCTCATCTGCTGACTCATAATCCCAGGTAGCTGGCACTCCAGAACTTGACAGCCTCCCTATACCTTCTTATTGCAATGGTTAGGAGGGCTCAGGACTCTGAACACAGGGTTTGATGCTGGACACCTGAGTTCTCACTTATAAGCCTCATCCACTTCATCCCCATTTGCCCTCATCTGGACACACTGATAAGAAAGTCTGGGTGACCACTCTTGTGCCCCTGGTGGGATAGTCAGTCCACCCCAGTCCCTGCCTACATGACAGCCCTCTTTGTCTCTCACCCTCTACAACAGCACACTCAGAGCCAGGAACAAGGCCCTAATCTCAGGGCCTGCCCAGCCCTCCACAGACCTCGGTCCTGTCAGAACTGAACTACCTTGTCCCTGGTGTGTGGGAACCATCAGGGTCCACATTTGAAGCTACTTACAGTGAGAGCACTTTCAGGTCTGCACAGGGTTTGCAGCATCAGTGCTGTGTGCGGGTTGAGGGGACAATGACTGCCACCAATGTTCATTTACTCTCCATCAGGACTGATCACTACTAATGACTCCCTGTCTCTGTGAATAATACTGGGCATTTTCAGGTCTCCCAGACCCTGACTCCAAGTGTGGGGGGCCCAACACGGGAAGGAAGGGGAGAATGGAGACAGACATTTCCCTGGTCAGCCAGCTTAGCAGGCTCTGCAGCCCCCAGTGTGTGGCTACATTTATACAGAAAGCCACACTTAGCATTTGCCTGAGCATCAGTAATTAACATGAGGCCCTGGATGCACACAGCCCACTGAAGCAGGGGCTTGGGATCTGCAGCCAGGTTCCTCCAGAGCTGTGTCCTGAGGCAAGCTGGACCCAAGGTGGAGCAGAGACATCAGTAATCACAGGCCAGCCCCTGGTTGTGGGCATGGTGGATCTCCCAACAATCCCAGAGTCTGTGTGCCCATATTAATTGGTTGGATCTAATGAAGGGATTACTTCAGCCAAAGATGGTCAGTTATACACCAACACCTCTCTAGGCACAAGGCCAGTGATAGCCACCCCATGTTCCTGCAGTCCTATGGCAGGTGCTTATGAGTGAGCCACACAACTCGGGCACTCAGTGCCAGGCCCTTAAGGAGCCTGGGAGAAAGGCAGGCCCAGGTGAGTGTCATCAGCCACGTGGGACACCAGGAAGAGGAATTGGGCCTGGGTTTGTGGATGAAGCTGCCCTGAGGCTGCTGTGCAGCTGAGCATGGGGAGGTGATGGACCATGTCCACAGGGGATGGGGTGGGAGGGGCTCAACACCCAGTGGCCCAAGTGGGTGGATGGAAGCTCTTCCTTCTAGAAAGGCCCCAGGTGTCACTCAGCAGAGAGTGCTGGTCACGAGGGATGGTCACGACAGATGACCCCTGCAGACGGGGTGCTTTGGGAGAGTTTCCGATGGTGACATTTTCCCCACACACAGTTTGGTGCTGTGTCCCTTCCGGCACTTTCTGGTGCAGCTCTGGCACCTGGAGAGGAGTCCTGGCAAGTGGAGGTGCTATGAGAGGAGTCACTGTCAAGGTGTAGCCAGTCTGCCTCCTTTACAGCACTGAACATCCCCTCACCCCCTCACCACAGGGTCCCACAACCTACTCCTTTGTATTTACCAAAAGGAGAATAACAACTGTGCCCACACAGAAACCTGCACACAGCATTTATAGCAGATTCGTTCATATTTGCCAAAACTTGGGAATGAACAATATGTCCTTCAGGGTCTGATGCAAATAAACTGTGGCCCATCCTGACAATGGACACTTAAGTGTCCCATACACTTGACAGAAACACTGAAGGGAGTGATGAAAATGTGAAGTAGAGATACCTGAAGACCTAAACCCAAGACATTATTTCAAGAATGTGAGTGACCAGTAAGGACAAAGGCAAAGAAGAGGTGGTGTGAATGAGACACAAGAGAGCATCAGTTGAATATGACCTCACAGTGTGTTGTGCACATGGGAGCATCTTTCAGAGTGGAAGGTGTAGCCCAAACATGACAATGAGCCCATCTCATGGGTGTGATATATGCAGTAATGTTCTGTTGTAGACACTGTAATTGTACAATAAATTTCACTGATACTTCTAAAGTGGTATGAAGAAAAGGTATGGAATCCATTTAAATGTGTGTAGAAAGAATTATACACATTTGTTTCACATTCCATTTTCTTTGTCCAGCTTCTGAGGTAGGACATGTAGGTCATTTCCTTTTGCTCTTTATGGCATTTCTACTAATAGGTTTTTAAGCTGCAGATTCCTCTTTTGACCCTGCTCTGAGCCATTTCCTGCAATTTTAGAATTAACATATATCACCCTGCATACCTGGGCTCTGGACACAGGGGACTTTGGTCACATTGCATTGACCAGCCAGCCAACCCTGCTCTGACAATGATATGACCCCAGCTGACCATGGGCTTGTCCACCATGATGTTCTTCAGTTCAGGGGGCCACCTGGAGGTGCTCTCAGCACATGTGTGTCTTGTTGAAGGTGTTCTGGGGTCAGTCATCTGCCGCCTGTCCACCTGACACAGGCCTGCCTTGCTGGAGAGTCCATGTGACCTGAAATCACATGTGTGCACTCCACATGGGCTCTGAAGGGTGGCTGAGGCCAGCTTCGGGTCACCTGAATGTAACTGGCCCTGGGTTCTCATGGAGGGAGTGACTCAGGAGATGGGTTTGCAGGGATGATGGAGGTTGTATTTAAGGCAAAATGCACCACAGCTGGAAACGAGAGCACAAATCCCTTGCCAGATGGGGCTTCATGCCTCGGATAGATTCAGTGATTGTTTGGACAGAAGACAGAATGTGATGTTGGGACAGGATTCTGAGGACCCTGGATGAACAGACGAGCGTGGGTGGGGTTCAGGTATGCCTAGCTGGTTCTCATGATCCTCATGGGTTCTGCATGTGTAGTCAAGACATGTCATAGGTCTCATCTCCCAGGACTCTGTTCAGAGACCAGCTTCCCTGAAGCTGTGGGACAGGGCTCCACCTCTGTGCTGACCACTTGAGTCCATCTTGGGGACATACTGAGAGTTGAGTCTGTTCCCAGGCTCAGTGTTTCTCCATACAAGACACTGATGAAAGTGACAGAAGAGGTCGAATCCTCAACCTCAAGATCTAATCACATGGGGGAGGGGCGAGTGGCTCACTGCCTCCCAAAAGGACAGGGATCCTCGGAGCAGAAAGTGTGGGGCTGATCACTCTCACATGGGTTTGTCTGCACTGTGTGGAGAAGAAGATGTGACTCAGCACGTGGATTCAGAACTGCCAGCTCAGCACTGCCCTGGAGTGTGTGTGTGGGGGGCGGGGGCAGGTCATCCTTACTCATTGCTCAGTGAGAGAATTCCTGACATGTTTTTGGTTTGTTTGTTTGTTTGTCAGCCAGGAAGAGCAAATGGTACAAAAATAAGGGGCCAATAAGAATCCAGATGTGAAAGGAGCTGTGTCTGAAAACCCAGGTCCTTCCTACTTTTTGGCAGTGGAGAGGGTAAGAAATTAAAGACACATAAAAGGAAGCAGGAAATGCCCGAGGGGACAAAAGAAAGGGAAAAAATAAATGACCCCAAAGGAAAGCCCAGCCACACACCTTCTGGGAATCAGCTTCTGAACCAGACCCCTCCATTTAGTAGCATTGATTCCCCCCTGGTGTCTGAAACATCCCCTGATATCCTGATCCCCGCATGGTGACACTGATGTCCCTTGTGCTCATTAAAGTGCACAAGTGGCAGTACTGTCCCTTTCTGTCCTGAGCATCCCCTGCTGGCACTGTTGCCCCTGGTGTTCTGAAAACCCCTTGGTGGCACAAATGTCATTGGTGCTCTCAGTGCCCCCTAGGGGCCTTGATGTCCCATGTGCTCATGAACCACCCTGAGTGGCACTGATGTCCCCTACTTCCCTGAGCAGACTCTGCAGCCCCATCCTCTTGCCTTCCTATGGGAGGCTTGTGTCTGCAGATATGGAGAACCAGTCTCCTTCAGTACCTAAAGAGTTTCCCACAGAAAACTATTTTAGCCCTGGCTGGTGTGGCTCATGCGAACATGTAAACCATAAGGTCAGCTGTCAGGGCACATGCCTGGGCTTACACACAGCTTCCAGTTGGGGCGAGCGAGAGGGAACCTCTTCCATATGGATGTTTCCCTCCCTCTTTTCCTCCTTCCCACTGCTCTCTCTACAAAAGACAGATAGATGTCCCTGGTGGTCCTTTGTGCCCGTGGTGTCCTGAGCACCCCCTGCAGCCCAGCCCTCCTGTCTCCCTCAGGGAGGTTTGTGTCTGGGCTCACACTGACCCCCCAGCTGACTTCCAGTCCCTTGGCCACACCCTGTCACTGTCCCCTCAGCTGCTCCCCTGGCATAGGTATCCTCACTGTCTCCTTGGCAACAAGGGGCCAGGGATGATTGTTGGGACCTGGCTTCTCTGAGGATCCTCTTTTTCTCCATTCTCACTGACAGTTGTCCCCAAGCAAGGACATGGGCCTAGCAGAAGACTCAGTCACCATGAGGATGCCCCTCTTGACCTTTTAGCTCTGCATGACACTGGCACTGTCCAACATTCTCAAGGCCGTCCCTGATAGCGCTCCATCTCCTCCAAGGTGGCGATTCCAGAAAGGAGCTGCATGGTGACAAAGGCCTTAAGATGTAAGACTGGATCTCCTATAGCCTGGGTTTTGGTGGCCAGAGACACGTCATCCACATGTGCAGCAGGATACTGTTTTGGTCACGACATCTGGAGATGATGAGTAAGGCTGACCAGGGAGTCATGCAGGTGGATGAACATTTTGTCCCCTGTGACTGTTCCTACCTCAGTTCCTCAAAGATGTTCCTCTCTCCGTGGTGACCAAGGGCACTTACAGGGACCTGAGATGTATGATGAAGGTGGGTGACCTGGCTTATTATATCCAGCCCCACAAAGGATTCCAGAAGGTTGGACATGTGGTTTGCCAGATAGTGGCTGACACCACCCAGCAGGATCCATGTATACACGGGTCCTCAGAAATAGCCTCACATATTCATCTAGTCATCGATATATCAATTAGCTAAAGGTTTGTTTTACTCTGTAAGATGACTCCTGTAGTACATAGTTGCCTTTAACATAATTTGAAATAAATGTGTTAAATTATGTTGTGACAGCTGTCACATTAGCAAGCACTTGCAAAAATACATCAAAATTGGTGAACTTTTCTGTATCCACTTTATTATGGAAATTTCAAGGAAGATGAAAATGCAACAAAATCTCAAAATGCAAAAAAGATTGCAGGAGAAATGGAGAAGGTTCTGTGACTGATCAAATGTATCCAAAGTTGTTTACAAATTTTGTGGTGGATATTTCTCACTCAATGATGCTTCAGTCCTCTGTAGACCAGGTGAACTTGATAGCAATCAAATTAAGACATTAATTGAGAACCATCAATGTTATGCCATGTAGGAGGGAGCTGACATAAAAACGTGTCATTTAGACCTATATGCAGAAAACTATACAACGCTGCAGATAGAAACTAGGGAGGACACAGATAAAGGGTAGTATATACTGTGTTCATGGATTGGAAGAATTAGCAACACTAAAATGTCTCTCCTACCCCCAAAATAAATTATAGATTGAACGCAATCCCTATTAAAATTCCAATGATGTATTCCCCAGATGGAGAATGAACATTTCCAAAAATTTTATGGAACCATCACTGACCCTGAATAGCTGTAGCAATTTTGTAAAAGAAAAACAAAGTACTAGGGATCAAAATCCCTGACATCAAACAATATTACAAGGCCACTGTAATCAAAAGAGCCTGGTACTGGCATAAGAACAGACACATAGCTCAATGGAACAGAAGAGAGAGCCTAGGAATGAACCCATGTCTCTACGGTCAATTATATATTTGACCGAGGAGGCAGAAGCATAAAATGGAATAAAAATAGTCTCTACAACAAATGGCACTGGACAGCTACATGTAAAAATTAATTTTGACCACCAACTGACACCAACAGAAAAATAAACTCAAGATGGATAAAAGCCATAAATATGTCATGACAAAATAAATGTCCAAGGAGAAAACATTGGCAGGAAACTCTTGGACATCCCACACAGCAATATTTTCACTAAAATGTCCACTACATTAATGGACATGAAGGAAAAAGTAAAGAAATAGATTTCTTCACAGTAATAAACTTTTGAATGGCTAAAGGAAACCTCTGCAAAATGAAAAAAAAAAAAAAGAATCAACTGTATGGAAAAATATATTTGGCAATGATACCACAGACAGGGGTTTGATCTCCAAAATATAGAAAGAACTCATACAATTCAAATTCTGGAAGACAAAGAGTTCAAATGAAAAATGGGCAATGAACCTGAACAGACACATCTCGAAGGATGACATACACAGGACCCAGAGACATATGAAAGGATGTTCTTCTTCAGTAGCCATCAGAGAATTGCAAATTAAAGCTACAATGAAATACCACTTCCCAACAGTAGGCATGGCCATCATAAATAAATCAACAAACAATGGGTGCTGGTGAGGTTGTGGATAAAAGGGAACCCTACTCCACTGTTGGTGAGAATGCAGACCGGCGCAGCCACTTTGGAAATTCATCAGAAAGCTAAAGATGGAACTGCCTTCTGACCCAGTGATTCCACAAATCGCTTACTGGGAGTAACCTTATGAACCGCAAAACGCTAATTCAAAATAAGCTATACACCCCAATGTATATAGCAGCACAATTTACAATAGCCAAGTGCTGGAAGCAACCGAAGTGTCCATCAGAAAGTGAGTGGATCAAACAAACATCATATATTTACACAATGGAATACTACACAACAGGGAGAAAGAAATAGCTACTACCCTTCGCTACAGCATGGATGGAATTGAAGAACATTATGCTACGTAAAATGTCAGGTGGTGAAAATCAAATACAATATGATCTCGCCTATAAGTGGAACCCAATCAGTGAAGCAAGTAGGCAAAGAAAATATGAGCAGCTACTTTGAAAGAAAGAGGAAATGAATGGGGATGGGAAGGATGGAGGGAGGGAGGAGTGTAGTGAATAGGGGAAAGGGGAGGGTCAGATCAAGGAACCAGTGTGAAGGACACTTGGAAGAAGCCAAGGTGGGGAAGGATTGAGTGTGGTAGGGGCAGTAGGGATGGAGGGGAAAGTGGTGGTGAGTAAATGGAGACAAAGGTATTTGAAAAATTTAAAAAAGAAATAACTTGAAAAATAAGTAAATTAAATCATTTTTAAAAGTGTGACTTTTTTTAAAAAGAAAAATAAATAAAAACTGCATTCCATTTCTACACATTTTAGCATTAAACTGGATGTTTACAGATTATATGGAAATCTTCAAGACTCTATAAAGTACTGATATAATTTCATTTGTAATATTAAGAGATCTTGAAATGTCGCTATGGAGAAGAAAGTTTCTGTTCACATAATAATTTCTAAAACCATGTCACTTCAAGTTTCTTTTCTGTTCCTTAGGGACAGTTATTATTTCATCTTGATGGCATTACAAATATATTATATCCTCAAGAAGATCCAAGGAAAGGATATGACATATTCTAAACACTTTAGGTCTCGGTGGGAATCAATTTTGTGATCACAGATTTGGAATGAGATAAAGATTACTAGAACTTAATGGAATACTTGAAGATATAGAAATATTGGCATACACTTAACATATAATAATGGGTGATTGGAGACCAAGATGGCAGAGCAGTGAGTGGAAGTCACACTGACCTCCTCCAAGGACCACCCTGGAATTACAACTAAATTGTGGAGAAATCACCTGGACCAAACAACTGAGCAAGAGTGAGAGAGGAGCCTTGCAACCTCGGAGACAGAAGAATCGGTTTTAGTGCAATCTACTTGGTAAGGAGTGTGGTACAGACCTGAGAAGGCTGGCAGGCAACCCATGGGTGGCAGCACCAGAAGGATATTGAAATGTCCAGTTGGACCCCCCAGAGAAGAGCAGGGTCTAAACCAACATTGGGGATCCCTAGCCCACTGCACCAGAGCCCAAAGAGTACACAGTCAACAGCCAGCTGCGAAAAGTGGCAGGGTTGCTCTCTGCCAGAAACAGGTGGCTAGAGACAAAAAGAGTCATTTAAAGGGCCAACACATAAATTTGTATTTGCAGCCATTTACACTGATATCCAGCAAAGACAGGGGCAGAGTGGGTTAGAGATGCTTGAGTAGAGACTGGGGATGGAGACTTTGGTGAAAGAACAGAGAGAGTAGTTGGCGAGATCCCAGTGCGGACTCCTCCCTCATACTGCAGCAGCTTGAGTGGACCCAATAACCCTGCACCCAGGAGGGACTCGGCTCTTCCCTGAGCTGTCTAAGGCAGCCTACTGAGTGCAGAGTGAATATATTAACAGCTGATGGAGACAGCCACACACAGGAGATTCCTGGAAGTCTCAAACAAGCTGCCACATGGCATCCAGGCATGACATCTGACATCATCAGAGGCAGATCCAGAAAGTAAAACAGTCATCTCCAACCACAGAGGTTCACACCACAGAGTCAGGAAATCAAGACAGGTCAAGTTAAGATGCAGAAGCAAAAGAGAAGAGTCTCACAAATAATGGGAAGACAAAGAAATACACCCCACTTGAAGGGAAAGGAGGAATGCCCAGAAAGAGAACTAAAAGCAATAGAGGCAAGTAAACTATCAGCTATTGAGTTCAAAACAACAGTTCTAAGGAAACTCAGTGAGCTCAGTGATCTCAGAGAGAAATACCAAAAACTACAGGAAAACTACAGGGAACTTACTACAGAATACACCATCATGAAAGAGGACATAGAAGCTATCAATAAGAGAGTAGAAGAAATGAAGAATACAATTTCTGAAGGGCAAACACAGTAGAACGAATCAAAAGCAGGCTAGATGCAGCTGAGGACCGAATCAGTGAGCTGGAGGATAAGGTAGAAAAAAGCTCCCAGAACAAGCAAGAAAACGAAAAGAGAGTCAGAAAGAATGAGGAGGCATTTAGGGAAATGCAGGACAATCTGAAATGTAATAATATCTGTATAGTAGGTTTGCCAGAAGAAGAGGATGAGGAGAGGATAGAGAACCTGTTTGAAAAAGTAATGATGGAAAATTTCCCTAATTGGAGGAGAGAAAAAGTCACACAAGTTCAGGAGGCACCGAGGGTCCCATTCAAGAGGAACCCAAAGAGGCCCACTCCAAGACACATCATCATTAAAATGGCAAATATCAAAGACAAATAGAGAATCCTAAAACAAGCAAGGGAGAAAGCAATAATAACATGTAAGGGTACCCTGATACGGCTCACATCTGGCTTCTCAGCAGAAACACTACAAGCCTGAAGGGAATGGCAAGAAATATCCCAAGTAAGGAAAATCAAAAGCCTGCAACCAAGAGTACTCTACCCAGCAGCAAGGCTCTCAGTTAAAATGCAAGGTAAAATAAGGAGTTTCCCAGAGAAAGGTAGGCTAAAAGAATACACCTCCACCAAACCAGCCCTGCAAAATCTGCAAGAAGGACTGCCTTAAGATGAAGAAAAAAGTTTCTATGAATTCCCAGTTCCTTTCAAAGTTGACACTACTTGATATTACCAATATTTTTAATACTCAATAGCCTGATTGTGGCAATGATGTTATTTTAATTGATCCTTTCCTATGTGTTGAAACTAAACCTGTTTTAGTATTTTAAAAAATGGGTTATGGAATAGAATTAATCAAGGATTACTGTAGTGTAGGTACTATTGATGCAAATATTGCTAATTTTTAATATTTTTGATTTTCATATAGAAAAAAACTTGCTTTTTATTTAATCATTTTGGTAAATTATACTGTAATAGACAATATCTAGGTATTTATATTTGTAGCCAAGTTGGATCTCTCTGGAGTTGAGACACAGCCTGGTAACTGGCTTATTCAGAATGTTCATGGAAGTCATCCCAGACAAGCTGCGGATGCTGGTTTCCTTAGAGGTTGCAAGGGAGAACCAACCTTTGGGCAGACCTGAAGAACTTAATGAACTGGCCCCCAAGTAATAGTTATTTTAGGTAAAGTCTAATAGCAAACAAGTGTATTGGCCTCTGTTCCACATGGAGTAATTAAAGCTCCATCTTGCATTTCCTTACAAGATTTCAGCGTAGCATATTAAACAGAGCCTACACAATCAATTATTTTTTTCCTCTTATGTTTATGCCAGTAGCCTGACTTAATGAAAACTGAATTTGATGCAGTAAATGAATTAGTCTTAGGTTTTTGGATAAAAATGAGGGTGATTCTACATAGAGAAATTATGTTTCATTAGACTCAGTACTACACAGTTATAGACATTAAACTCTACTTCAGTGAAATGTCCCCAATGCTTTATTTTTTAACTTATGAACAGAACTGCATCCTAAACCTTTCTGACTCATTATTCTCTTATATTGATATTAATACTACAATCTGAGTCCTCCAGGTTACAAGCCTTACTCTTAATCAGGGAATACCAGCCCCAGACACCATTACAACACTCTTCCATGCCCAGGCCTCATCTCCCCTTCAACCTAGAGAAAGGATTTCTTGGCTCTGATTGAAAATAACAGCCCTCTAGAGCTGGAAGCAGTTGCTGAAGACGTCTAACACACTTTGCCCCAGAAGGAGTGAGAACAAAACTCTTGTGCAGGACCTACTCAAAATGAAAGCAAGAAAAAAAGGATAGGTGCAGAATTTCTCCATGCGAGAATGCTCAGGTGCCTAGCAGCAGGGATACAAAAAAAAGATATGAATATGAAAAGGCACATTGTCAGAGGTTGAGCAGGACCGGAGAGTCAGATAATGAGGGAGGCTGCCCGGGGCTCCTCTGCACATCCCACAACCCATCAGTATTTCTCCACAGGAACCTCAGAAACACTCGGGACACAAGTATTTCCTATCAACCACTGCATTGTCTATAAAAACAGACTTGGTCATGGGGTAATGAGACACATGCCACGCAAAGCCTATCTCAAGCCGTTAAGATGCCATGTCAGAGATTTAAAGTCATCACAGAGCTTTCTCTACTTGCCTGAATGAGCCATCCCTGTTCTGGAACTTGGCTTGATTTTTAAACTGCCTACCAAGTGGCATGTTCCCCTAAAGGCAGCATCTTTCTCTCAGGTCTCACTGCCATATGCACTTCAACTCCAGTTGGTTGTAACCTTTCCAGGGGAACCCAGAGAAGACCAGCTCCCTCCTGAGAATGACAAGCAAGTAATTAGAACAGTTCTTGCAGATGACACTCCAGGGCAATCAATTTATGTTCATGTAAATAGCATGAGACCTCCCCGGAGAAATCCCAGCTCCCTCCTATGGGATGACCATTAGTCTCGCCCAGGGAAGATTAACACATGTGGGGTTCTGCTCTCAGATGATGAGACTCCGAGTCTCATCTCTGAGTGAGGATTGAAAGAATGTTTTGATGTCATAGACTGTGCTGGAACCTGGAACACCTGTCAGCTCTTGACTTTGCTGCCAGAATGTCATCTCTCTGATGATTGGCCAGAGACAAAGACATAGAAACTCATTCTTGACAACCTTGTGCTTAGACTTCACAGAGTTCCCTTCTATTGTTCAAGCATATAGGATGTCTTAAGTCTTTCTGGGCACTCACTAGAGTCTGAACCACAAATCCTGAACCTGCCCAACATTCCCAGATGATGCCTCCATGAACATCCCTCATTCTGAGGACAAGGAGACTCCCAATGTGCCCCTTGCAGAAATCACAGCAAATGACAGGGATATTTCCAGGAACATCGTGCCTTTCCCTTCCTTGCAGTGCATCTGGTCTCTTGAAACGTGTCCCTGGATTTCTGATGTGCCCATGACAACATCATTCCTGGTCTCTGTTCTGTGACTGTGAGTGAGAAAGTCGGGGGACCATCACTCTGTCATCTCCTGAGCTAAGTACAAATATCCCAGTTCATCCCGGGTTGTGTGACACCCTCACGAAGTGGATCATCACACTGAGTCTCTTGCACAGTAATACACGATTGAGTCCTAAGACACAAGACCATTAGTTTGGAGATAGGTAACAGGGATGTCAATGAAGATGAATGTAATTCTGAATAGCCCTGGGCAACATAGGTTTTCTAGTGTTTGTGTTCATCCTTCCCATATATTTCAGGCCCACTCCAGGAGACTGCCAGAGAACACAACTTGTGTAGATGTATACAGAAGCCTTGTAGGAGACCTTCAGTGAGGCCCCAGGATTCCTCCCCTCAGCCTCCAACTGCACTAGATGTACCTGGGAGTGGGCAGCTGTGGAGAGGAGGTAGGGTGTATGGAAAGCCCCCTTGACTGTTCCTGGTCTTCTCCTCAACCCAGGGCAAAGGGATCTCTTAAATGAAGCCACTGCTACCAGGAGGAGGACTCTGAAGCAATAGTCCATGGTGAGGGGCTCTGCCTTCAGGACTTCTATAGGGGAAGTGGTGGCTCTGGGTGATGCTCTCACGGCACAGGCAGAACCATATTTAACCTAGCCGACCTCTTCCCATTCTCATAGTCATGAGGAAAAGTACTCTGTATCTGATTATCTAAGTCCATCAGGGAAAATGTAGAGCACACAAGGTACATGATCAATGGGATGATCAGGGTTCAAATCTGAATCAATGTTATCTGATATGTGTCCTGTGCCAGGACCCTGAGCTCTGTGCACTCAAAGGTCCTCTTACAGAAGACCAATCCTCCACAGGACAAGCTCCTCCTTGAGAACTCACCCTGGCCTGACACCAAGGTCACCTTAAAGGACCACTTCTGAGCTTTAATACCTGTAGGTTTTTTTCAGGGATCAGGTCCTCCAACTACTTAACATTCACATATAAAGAAGCCATAGAAATGCCATCACTGATCGTTTTCCCTTCTTTTATTTAGTTTGGCAAATGCTCTGATAGAGATGTATATTTAGAGTCACACCCTGTCCAACCCTAATTGTAGGTGTTTTAATGAAAAGAGGAAGACACAGAACTTCAAAGGATATGCCTCCCCATCTCCCTCTCCACCTGTCCCTGAAGCAGCTGCCCTGAGGTCATGGGCCCTGCATGCCACCTCCTGCCCAACCTCTGTCCTGCAAGGGAGGGTTCTATCTGGGCTGACAGGGCATGGACTTCTCAGGGTCTGGAGTCCAGAAGTAAGAACTGTGTCCTGACTTCAGGATGCTCCCTCAGGGACAACATGCGTTTACACAACTGAGGATAAGGAGTTTTGGCCTTAGTATATCCCAGTGACTGTGCAGGGAGCCCCAACCCAAGGCACTACAGAGCCCCTTTGCTGGAGCTGCCAAATCCACTGGCTCAGCTGACATACCTGAATCCAGAAGATACCAGTGGCCTTGAGAGATACTGATGTCCTGAGGTTCATCAGCTTCTAGGTCCCATATGAGTATCCCTGCACGTGGCCCTGATGCCAATACACTTCTACTGCACAATGAATTAAACACACACACACACACACACACACACACACACACACACACACACACACACACACACTACAAAATGATAATTTTCATATTAATAAACCCAGTTCCCTCTTCTCCCCAATTCTAACACATGGGCAGGATCCCCACTCTCACCCAGACAAATGAGTGACCTACTGTGATGATGAAACAAAAGCAAACAGTATTGATGTGAAGACTGGGGAGTGTTCACCCTTGTGGTTTCTTGTTTGTTTGGCCTCTGGAATCTGCAGAGGCCATGGTTAGAAAGTCCTGTCTTGTCCTGAGGAGGTTCAGACCTGTGGTTAATTTGTCCACTCAGTGTAGTAAATAGTGACCTTTTTTCTTTTTTTTATTTATTTATTTATTTATTTATTTATTTATTTATTTACTTATTTTTTGGGTATAGAGTCTTTCTGACCTATAGAGTACAGCTCCCCATTCTCAGAGTGCACTGCCTGCAGCATCGAGGGTATTAACACAGTGGACACAGGACCAGTGTCTCCCCTTAAGAGAAGCAGGTGCAGATGCAAGAATAGTGGAGTCAGAAAGTGGATCCTGGAATGTTAGAGTCTATGGACCATAACAATGTAGTGTTCCACTGCTTCCTCTGGTGTCTTGAAATCCCACTGCAACCCAGTTTTCCTGTTTCCTGCAGGGGTCTTTGCCTGGGATCTTGCTGACTTCCCCTCACTGTGCCTCCTACACAGTAATAAACAGCTGAGTCCTTGGTGGTCACGGAGTTGAGCTGAAGAGAGAACTGGTTCTCGGAGGTGTCTCTGGAGATAGAGGCTCGGCTCTTGAGGGACAGGCTGTAGTAAGTGCTTCCATCACAATCTATTCTCCCCATCCACTCCAGCACTTTCCCTGGAAGTTGGCAGATCCAGCCCCAGTCACCATAACTGAATATGTTAGAGGCTCCGGAGATGGTGTAAGTGAGGGAGAGGGTCTGTGAGGGCTTCAGCGTTCCGGGACCTGACTCCTTTAGCTGCACCTGGGACCAGACACCTGGGGACAAAAACATCAGGTCAGTCAGTCACGTGCAGTCACCATTATCCTATAGACCCCTGTCTGACTTCTGAGATACTCACCTTGGGGTGCTGTCAGCAGGCACAGGAGGAGACCCAACTTTCTCATCTACATACAGGTCTGTTTTCCTCAGAGACTCAGCCTTGTGTGAGGAGGGAACTGTGAGCCCCAACAGCCCAGGGGAGGATTTAACTGGGAGATGAAAAACAAATTTGCACGTGCTGGATTCTATTCTAATAAGTGGGGAGAGACTGAGGTCCCTTTTCTTCTGTGCCCTGAGCACATTTTGTCTGTTTGACTCGATGGTGTAAGTCAGGAATTGGAGTGTAGCTGAGGGATGTGCCAAGTTCGAATCAGGCCATTTGGCAGCCTTTCTTTCAGTGTTTAACAGTTAAAACTGGACTGGATGAAAGATCATATTATTTTAATTTCATAGACTATTCAAGTGAATCTTTAAAAAATTAACATTATGTCCAAATATCTGCCCAAGTCCAAGGAAATACAGGGAGTAGAAACACTTTCTAGATGGGATAGTCATCAGTTCATATGAAAAAGAACTTGATGTAAATTTTCATGTATAAACATTTGAATGTAAAGGACAGTCTATCTCTTGTTCTGCTTGATGCCCCTGTGCCTGCAGGTGGTAGAGAAAGCGCAGCCTCTGTCCAAGTTCAGCTCCAGGGAATGGACCACGCAGGACAGAACCTGTTGCCCAGAGTCCTGCTCAGACCCTGCAGCAAATACAAGTATTACACATCCTGTGTCCTTTATTTTAACTCAGTTCCCCCAGGACAGTGCAGCCACTTCCCACAGATGAGCCTCTCAGGAGCCCTCCCATGTTCCTAGACACCTTCTCCCAGAGACACACAGGCTCTGACTCTGGGCCAGCAGGTATCCTGGGATGTGTGAAGAGGATGGGACCTGTTTCCTGGTGAGAGAGGGTCAGTTTGGAGCCTGGCATCCTCATGTTGACCTGACAGCCTTTGGCAGAGACCTGGAGATTGATGTCCTGGGAAGAATTATCATGAAGGTCACAGGGACACATGGAGGGAAACCGAAGTGCAAACTAGCTGTGCCTTTTACTAAATCACTTTAAGTGAAGTGAAACACATGGTGGGACTCAACAGCTTGGTAAAGGCTTAAAATCATGTTTTCTGGCCTGAGTCTCACACACCCTCCACCCACAGAAACTTCCCACTGCAGTGCCCATCATGTAATAGTGCACAGCTAGGATTGCAGCACATCTGACAGACTGAGGACACCCATGGACCAGACATGAGATTTTCTTAGTTGACAAATGTCTCAGAAGATAAGTCCTTTGTTGACAAGAGAGCTGAGACCGAGGGTTGGTGGCACCCACATGGGACTGAGTTGAGGGATGTTACAGAGATGTCCCCATTCTCTTGCAGGTGCCATGGGACACCAGTGAGGAGCCCTGAGCACAGGCTAATTAGGACCAGCATGAAGGAAAACAAGGTGAATACTGATGGAGAAAAACAATAAGAACAACTATTCAGTGAGCAGCACACCATTGCTCCAGGTGACGCCTGTGCTCTGTACCCACTCCTGCCCCTGACCCCAACATGGAAGAGGGACATTCAACCACATATATATCCCAAGCCAGCCCAGTGACATGCATCATCACCTGCCCCGGAGGGACCTCAGCCTGGACATGGCATCCCTTCCCTCACATGTCCTTGTGAAGCTGTCCAGAGATGCATTTCAGGTGATCACTTGGGTGTCTCCATGTCTCAGTTCTCAAGGAGCTTTAGTGACCATGACCACAGATAAGTGGAGCCTGTTGAAGGTCTTGTCATTTTTATCATTAACAAGCCAGGTGAGAGCAGAGGGAAAGATTGGGTACCTGCATGCAGAATGAGATAATATGAAAATTCATGGAACAAAGTGTTTCCAGAGAAGGAAGGTTCCATTCCATGACTCAATGTCCTGTGTGGGGTGAGTACCATAGTCAGTCTTGTGTCTCCCCCACCACCCTGCTATCACCATGAGAAAGAGGGTGCTGGGCCCCAATTACATGCCACCCACACTGCATCTCCCCTGAAGAGACACTTGGATACATGTAGTGCTCTTTACCATCTAACGCATTGACTTGCCCACTGTCCTTGTCCCTATACTTCCACCACGTACTCTTCTCTGAACCCCCATGGCATTAATTCTGAGTGAGGCTCCCCCTCTCCCCAGATTCCATTTTCCTGAAAACACCCAGGGGAAAGTCTCACACCTTCTGAGGTTCTTTCCCACAAGTGAGCTCCTCAAAATGACCTTCCATGCCCCCCCTGCTTGGATCCCTGACCCCATTCCTGCCCTGCAGGGTCAGGAGGCACCACTGCTCCTGGGACACCTGTGCACACCCCTCATTAGTGCTGGTGTGACATCTGTGGTTTATCATACAGTAACTAACATTCACTGTGAGAATCCATGTTAAATGGACACAGTGACATTAAGTCCATCCATACCTTTGGGCAACCGTCATCATCATCCAGATCCAGAAATGCTCTTACTCATCTGATTTACTGCCATTAAATAGTGACTCCCACTTCCTGCCCCAACCCCATACACCACATTCTGCATCTGTCCCCACACCCTTGACCACTCCAGCTTCTCACAGACATGGATGCAAACAGCCACTGTGATCCTGAGAGGGACACATTTCCCTGCACATTGTGTCTCTAAGGTTCATCTGTGTTCTTGCAACTGAAAACTATTTCTTCTCTTCAGGCAGATGACATTTTGTGTTGAGGATGGAGCACATCTTGCTATTCAGTGTCTTATTCCTTCTGAATGATATTCACAAGTACTCAGTTTCTTGTAAACAGGTGTTTTAGCTTTTTTCCTGACCAGGAAGGCAATGATACAGCACAGGGAAGGCAGAAAACAAACACAGGTGAAAGGAGTCAACTGGTGATCACCGAAATGGACAAGAAACACATGTAACAAGAGGCTGGGCTGAATTTGGACAAATTGTAGTAATTTCTATAGTGAGCTCATGGTCCTCTGTCATGATCTCCATCCATCCTGGAATCATCCAGATGAGTAACGATGGGAGAGAAGGACCCAGCATGTGAAACACTTGGAGGGCCGGTGTGGCCCTTCATTGGACAGGAACCTGGTCCTCCTCCAAGTAACATGGAATTCTGCCTGGAGTCTCTGGGACAGGGGAACCCATCCTGCCCCTGCCTTGTGGCTCTGTGGAAATAAGATAACGTGGTAGAAAGGGGGTTCAAAGGAAATGGAAGAGAAAGTGAATGTCAGAGTCAGTCCAAGGATACAGCTCTGAGGTGCAGGAGGATGCCAGGAGATCCTCTACTCATCTCACAACCCATCAGTGTTTCTCCACAGGAGCCTCAGATACACTTGGGACACACATATTCCCTATCAAACACCAAATTATCATAACAGCAGACTTGGTCATAGGGTAATGAGAAAAATGCAGCAGAAAGCCTATCTCAAGCCATTAAAATGCCATGTCAGACATTTAAAGTTATCACAGAGCTTTCAACTATGTGCCTGAATGTGCCCTCCCTCTGCTAGAACTGGGCTTGTTCTGTAAATTGTCTACCAAGGAACACATTACTCTAAAGGCAGCAGTTTTCTCTCAGGTCTCACTGCCACACATACTCCAACTCCAGATGGTTGTAACATGTTCAGAGGTGACAAGGTCCCTCCTGAATCCCACAAGCAAGTAATTAAATTACTTTTAGGCAGATGACACTCCAGTGCAACCAGTTAATGTTCAACCAAGTGGCCATGAGATCTCACAGGGAAATCCCAGAGAATGAATATTTCTTTGGATGGACTCTAGGACTCTGGTGCAGAGCAGCTTTACATCAGCCTGTAGTTCAGAATATCCCCAAGAATTGTATCACCATAGACTATAAAAACTGACACCTAACATGCTAATATTAAAAAAGAAAAACAAAACAAAACAAAACAACTTGAGTCTCTCGCTGAAGTTGTCTTGGATAATCAAAATGCCTTAGACTACATTCCAGCAGAACCAGCAGGATTTACATAACCATCAACCCCTCTAGTTGTTCTTACATTAACCCCCTCATCTCAGATGGAAACCTGCATCTCCAAAACCATGCACTGGCTACCTGGCATCAACAATCATTAGATCACCATATTCCTCTGTTTATGTGAACTCCACATTGGTCTATGGGTATTTTCAGGGATACCTCAGGGATCCAGGTCCAAATGAAAAACTTTAATGTAGTTTTAACCATTCTTCTGTTTATAATGCTTGTCTAAATTGTTTCACTGATCTCTCTATAACTTGTTCTTCCCATGCCATAAAAGTAGTATCTGATCTATAGTGACCTTCAGAAAATACATCGGCTTTTAAATCTCAAGACTTTGTTTTCCAACAGTCACAGGTTTCTCATTCCTTCAGGAGCTTCAAAGGCTATCAGCAGCTCCAAAGATATGGAGGAGAATTGACAGTGTGGAATTGTAACATAGACTAAAAACTACTGTTATCACTTCCCATGAAATAGAATTAAGTTAAGATGCACTAAGCAACTTATACTAACTCACCTAATGACAGTGCTTTGCAACTATATAGCAAGGGCTCCCAATTCCAGCCCTGCTGTATAATAAATAACCTTGACCGAAGATATGGCTGATGCAGACAGCACAATGCAGACATTTAACTGGCACCAAATCAGTTCTAGAATGATGACAGTGACGTTCCATGTTGGGACAGCCAAGACCCTGCCTGCATGTCCACAGTCTCTTTTTATTTTTTTTGTCTCTCTAACTCCCTATGAAAAGTGTACCTGCAGTGAGAGATGCTCATGGTTTTCAGATGAGAGTACTTCATCTTCCTGGGTGACAGCACATGAATGAAACCAATCTATTTCACCTCAGCACCTGACCCTGGAGTCTTGGCTTTTGAGTGTCAGACAGCCTGGCCTCCTTTTGATTATAGTTCATGGTGTCTCTCACTTCTGGTGAGGCCCCTCTTCATGCATCATATCTGACAATTCCAGCTCACTCCAGCCATGGCAGAAGGGTCAGCAAAATCTCTGAGCTCACTGAGTAAGGTAGTAGCTCATTTACAGGGCACACTGTTGACCCAATCATCG